CACTGTAACTCAAGCTAGTTTAAAGATAAATCCCTTGAGGAACAGGGGACTCCATCACTTAACATATCATTATGTCAATAAATTAAATTAATTTTTTAGGTCCTAAGAGCATTACTCTTTTATATATTGGGAAGGACTAAATAGTGGCCTAATCAAAAAATTTAGTCAATAGAGTAATGCAACAAATAATATCATCAATGTGAAATTACTCCTTGTATAGAACCTATCAAAATATATTTTCCTACAATATATACCATCCTAAAAATTATTTTAGGTCATAAAATCTTAAAAATTGATTCTTACTTACCATAATATAAATTAACTTTTGATATGATTAGAGTCTATTCATACCCTCAATTCATGACATGTGTATTCCCTCATAAAAGTTGAATATAGTAAAAGTTAATTGTGAGTCAGTACATTACAAGTGATAACACGATTATGGAATAACGCATTCACTTGTTTGAAAAGCAATGTTAAAAGTGTGTGGACACCTACTCGCTTGACTTGAAAACAATATTAAGTCAAAATGTGTGTTTCACTTACTTTTACAAATGAGGAAGAATTAGAAAATTTTGTATAGATTCAGATACTCTTCTATGATGGTGAATGGGGTCAGTCAGGACTTTTTTCAGTTGTAGGGGGGCAGCGGCAAGGTGACCCCCTTTCTCCTTGTTTGTTCATCATTGCTGCAGAGTATCTCTCTCGAGACTTGGACTCTTTGTATGCTCGATTTATGGGGTTGGCTTATAGTACTGGAGCTGGGGTTTCGGTTTCACATTTGGCTTTTGCTGATGACATTATTATTTTTGCTAATAGGTGCCGGTCGAGCTTGCAGCGAGTTATGGATTTCCTTCATCACTTTGAGGCTGTCTTTGGTCAGTTAATTAGTCAGGCCAAGAGTAGTTTCTATAACAATTCGTGTGCCTCGCATTCTAGAGAGGTGATTGCACTGTAGACCGCTGATTTTCAGAGGCGTGACCTTCCGTTTATTTATCTGGGGTGCCCTATCTCCTTGGGTCATCTCTGGATCTCGTACTTTGATGAGATGATTCAGAAGGTGCGGGAGCAGATTTTTGGATGGGCGAATTGCTTGTTTTCCTTTGGAGGTAAGCTCACTTTGATTCATCATGTGCTTGCGTCGATGTGTATTCACTTGTTTCACGTGTTGAGGCCTTCTGCGGATGTTTTTCACCAGTTAGAGAGGATGTTTACTTGTTTCTTGTGGGGTGACGCAGCTACTCATCGGAGGATTCATTGGTGTCACTAGACTGAGGTATGTTACCCAGTAGAAGAGGGCAGATTAGGGGTGCGTTCTTTTTTCTGACTTAGCCAAGTCTTGTGAGGTGAAGCTCTGGTGGAATTTTCGTGCTCAATAGTCACTTTAGTTCACTTTTATAAGGGTCAAGTACTGTATGTTCACCCATCTTGGGCTGATTGAGTTTTGTGATCGAACTTAACCTCTTTGGAGGCGATTGTGTGGGATTCGATCTATGGCTGAGCCGAGGATCAGATGGTTAGTACGATCCAGTGAGGTCAATTTCTGGTATGATTGTTGGTTGGGGGACTACCCGTTAGCTTTAGTGTGTCCAAGGGCGACTTCTAGGGTTCCTGTTTCTGTTTATTGGGTGGGTCGACAGTGGGACAGAGGTCGATTGTTGGTGGTTTTACCTTCTTCAGTTGCTGAGCAGATTGTGCACATTCCAATTTCGGATCAGGGGGTTCATTAGATGAGGTGTAGTTTGTCTTTGGATGTGAATTTTTCCTTAAGGACTGCTTGGGCTGATATTCGGGGTTTGGCTCCAGTTCGGGCTGGGTTTTCTTGTATTTGGCAGAGGCATATTCCGACTCAGGTCTCCTTCTTTATGTGGCGGTTGTTTCATGGTTTCCTGGCAACATATGATGGCTTAAAGAGACAGGGTTTCCATGTAGTACCCCGGTGTGTGTATAGTGGGGTTGTTGAGACTATTAGGCATCTTTTTTTGGATTGTTCCCTTGCAGTTCAAGTTTGGGGTCACTTTTATCAAATGTTGGCCGTTTCAGTCTCCTTATGCTTTGATGCTTCGTTGGCGGCGTTGTACTCCTTCTATAGGTCATGTGCGGGTACTACTATTGTGCTTCATTGCTGTGGCACCTATGGAAGGCACATGATGCTTATAGGTTCGATGGCCCGGCATTTCAGGTGCCCGTTATGGTTCAGAGGGTTATGATCGAATATGCAGTTGGGTTGGGCTTGCTTTTGGGTTTGCTCCGAGTCAGTTGCGTCGGGATGAGTTGGTTGAGTTTGTGGGTTCTCTTAAGGTCTTGGTTCCTCGCCCTCGGTCTCTTCGCTTGGTTTCTTGGACTCGTCTTATAATTGGTTACCTGAAAATCAGTGTTGACAATTGTTCTAAAGGCAATCTGGGGCTGTCTGCTGTAGGGGGTGTTATTCGGGACCACCAGGGTTGGGTTCTCAAGGCTTTTGGCTTGTTTGTGGGGCATCAGCCTATTCTGTATGCGGAGTTGCAGACTGTTTCTGCTGGGTTGGAGTTGGCCGCAGATTTGGGAGCTTCAGAGTTGGTAGTGGAGTTAGATTTAGCTACAGTGGTTTCTTGGGTTTCTTCTCAGGGTAGTGGGTGTTGGGTTTGTGCTTATCTACTTGCTCGAATTCGGCTTTTGTGTGCTTCTCTCTCGGCTCGCATTTGCCACATCCTGCGGGAGGCAAATTAGGCTGTTGACTTCATGGCTAATTGGGCTTGCTCTCAGCAGCTCAATCAGCAATTTTTTGATTCGTCATCTGTTCCTTCTGAGATTGCTGGCATCCTCTCCTTGGACGCTCGACAGACTCCTCATGTTCGTCAGTGAGTTTTTTATTTTTATTTGTGTTTTCAGTTATTTTGTTATATGGGGAGTCCCCACTTTTCTTTTCTGTTTATTTATTTTTAATGTTTTGGTGGTGAGTCACCACCTTACTTTTGCTTTGATCCTCCCACTTTGTACTTCTGGAGGCTTGACTCTATGTTCTCCTCCTTTGTACTTTTTTTCTTTTAGTCATATATACAGATAGAGATTCTACCAAACCTCCCACCCATACTGGGTGGATTTAACTAAAAAAAAAATTATTCTCTTAACATCCAAAAAAAAAAGATACTATTTTATACACTTTCTTTTCAATTTATTTTTTGGCGTATTTTCTATTATTAATAAGTGAGGACCCACTTGTATACAATTGGTCCTACTTGAATGTATGATAGATGATATGTCAAGAAGGGAATTGAAAAAAAAATGTATTGGAAAGAATCTCACTTCTTATATGGGGAGACTTGGAAGACTTAAGGACGTGTTTGGTATGTTTTGCAAAACAGTTTTTTGTTCTCAAAATTTTAAAAACACCTAAAACTTATTTGCTTAGCATTTTTGTTCTCAAATTTTTGAGAAAAAATGAGATTTTGATCAAAGAAATAGAAAACAAGGCTAGCTTGTTTTCTGAGTTTGGGGTTGAAAATTGTGAAAACACGGAGGTCACAAAACCTTTTAATGAGGTCTGCCCTTCGAGTCCCCTTAGTAGCAATAGGCTTCCTTTTTTTTTTCCTTCCTCTTTCCTTGACTCTCCAGCTCGTCTTTTTCACTCGTCGTCTGCATAGAATGAACAAACACACCGTCGTTGTCTTCTCCCACTCCAGTTCGTCTACACAGAAGCTTCAGATCTACAGCTCCAGCTCCAACTCTAGGTCATCTTCTCCATCTCCAGCTCGTCGTCCGCATAGAAGCTTCAAATCTACATAGATCTGTGTGTGCATGCATCTTTGTGTGTGTGTGTGTGTGTACGTGTGTGAGTGTGTTTTGTGGAGACAGAAAGAGGGGAAAGAAAGAGAGGTAGGAATTGTGGATTATTGTCCAAACAGATGTCATAATTTTTATTTTTTAAAACTATTTTAAAAAATATATAACCAAACAGGTTTTGTAATCTAAAAATTTTTAAAAACTTTTTCTTAAAACTCTGCCTAAAAAGGATTTTTGTATACTGTTTTTTGAGATGTAAATCAAACATGCCCTTGTGTTTCTTCTTTTCAAAGTTAGAAAATTGCTACATCAAGACTTTTCAGAAAAAGTGGCTAGGCATGATTTTTGATGGTTAGGCAATTAATTCCTGATGTCAAAGACCTCAATATTTGGAAAGTGCTCGTCTTTCAAAGTGATGTAAATTTTATTTGGGTTTCCAATAGACAGAAAGTTTGTGCACTAGTGCATTCATGCATAAATGCATTTTTCGATTGTTTAAAGGAGATAGGTGATTGAATTCCAAAATTTCATGACAAATACTTGAAATTACTGATATATTTCCTAAATGGATTCAAATTATTTTCATTGAGAGAAATAAGGAATAAGTTTTTGAACCGATAATACTTACTAGAGTATGGAAAACAAATTTGAGTACTCTTGATTTTCTTAGTCGTGCATTACTGATCACTTTCGAGTTGTGAAACTAACAAAAAGTTACAAGCTAGATTTTAGAAATTAACCAAATAGAATATGCCCATTTGAGAAGAGATGACATTTTTTCAGTCGCATGTAGACCCACTGAATTACGAAATTGATGGGTTCGGTTTTGGAGGGGGAATCAATTCGGTATTTAATACGGGTACGTCGATCTCAATGAAATATCCCTGTCTCATAGCTCATCACAAATTCACAAAAACTTGAACTCATAATTTCTAACAACTATGTATTTTCAATTTCAAATGTTGTAAAACATACAACAAAGTCCAATTTTCTCTCTTCAACAACCTTTTGCCTAAAAGACTCATATAATCCTTAGTTGGAACTGCCGGGGACTCGGGCATCCTCGGACAATTCAATATTTACTCGATTTCATAAAGAAAGAGTAGCCTGATTTAGTCTTCCTTTCGGAGACGAAATGTAATGCTAGGAGAATTGATTTTTTGAAAATAATGTTTGGCTTGTGTGGAGTGGCTATAGAGCCGCAAGGAAATGCAGATGGTTTAGCTTTGTTTTGGCAGAAAGATATTGATGTGGTGCTGCAGATTTATTCCCGTGGGCACATCGATGTTGTGATTAATGAGAGGAGTGAACAGGGATCGTGGAGGTTTTCTAAAATTTACGAGGAACTTGAGACATCGAAGCGTAGTGATACTTGGGCATTGTTGGTTCATCTGGGAAATCGAAATGACTTGTCGTTGTGGGGATTTCAATGAAATAGTTTCACAAGATGAGATGAAAGGGAGAGGAAGAAGGGTGGAATGGGCAAATGCGAGATTTCCATCAAGCATTGGATAGTTGTGCAATGGTGGATTTGGGATATACAGGTTTCCCCTTTACTTGGTATAACAATCGGAAGGAGCCATATATTGTGTAGGAAAAACATGACAGAGTGTGTGCAAATCAGGCATGGATGACGAGATTTCCTAATTCAAGAGTTTCTCACAAATTCTCAAAGGAATCAGATCATTATAAAATATTACTTGATAGTAATATGGGGCTGCCAACTCAAGGGAGGCGTCTTAGAAAAAGATTGTTCCATTTCGAAGCAACTTGGGTGAAGAGAGAGGGATGTGAGAAGACTATTGAGGAGGCTTGGAATTGTTGTGGACATCTTTCAGGGGTTCACAAGGAAAATACAAAGATGTAGAGTGGAGCTACTTAAGTGGAAACAGGTGCATATTGGGCACATTCCAGTTAAGATAGAAAAGTTGAAAGGTAAATTGGCAAGTAAAAAAGAAAGTGGCATAACAAAGAGTTCAAGGCAACATGTTCAAGTTGTGGTTATGGAGTTGAATTCTTTGTTGGATATGGAAGAGACTTACTGGCGTCAACGATCGAAAATTCAATGGCTGAAGGAAGGGGATAAGAATACATATTTTTTCCATGCCAGGGCATCCCAACGGCAAAGAAGGAACACAATTATCAAGCTCAGAAACAATGAAGGGGGCTGGTGTGAGAATTTGGATGAAATGGGATAAGTTGCGGTAGGCTATTTTTAGAATATGTTTACTTCCAGTAGACCACAAACCTATGTGCTAGAGGCTGTGGACTGCAAGGTGGAGGAGTGAATGAATTCAAGGCTCCTGCAGACTTTTTGACTTGATGAGGTAACTACTGCATTATCTCAGATGTTTCCTACTAAATCCCCCGGACCTGATGGTATGCCCCCACTTTTTTTTCCAAAAGTATTGGCATATTGTTGGGGTGGATGTTGCTAATTGTGTCTTGAGTTTTCTCAATGGTGATCAATTTCTAGTTAGTTTCAACCATACTAATATTGTCCTTATTCCTAAATGCGAAAATGCGGAGTCTTTACATGAGTTTCGTCCAATTAGTTTGTGTAATGTTATTTATAAAATTATTTCAAAAGTTTTACCTAATCGTTTAAAGCATATTCTTCCTTCGGTCATTTCTGATTTTCAAAGTGTTTTTCTTCCTGGGCGGTTGCTCGTCGACAATGTTTTGGTTGCATTTGAAATCAATTACTTCCTAAAGTGTAAAAATTGGGGTAAAATAGGACATGTGTCTCTAAAGTTGGATATGAGTAAAGCTTATGATATGGTGGAATGGGTGTTCTTGGAAGAAATGATGCTTACTTTGGGTTTTGATCCTAGATGGGTTACTTTGGTTATGCAATGTGTTACAACCATCTCGTATTCCATCATGCTGAATAATGGGCAAATGGGCTTTTTCATCCTGAAAGGGGTCTTCGTCAATGATATCCCTTGTCACCTTATTTGTTTCTTATTTGTGCAGAAGGTTTAATAGCAATTCTACGCAATGCAGAGATGAATGGCCTGATAACAGGGGGCTCGGTGGGGAGGGGCGGTCCACGTATATCCCACCTTTTGTTTGCCAATGACAGCCTATTATTCTTTAATGCATCACATGAGGAGGTTGGAGCTGTCAAGTCAATTCTTGGAACCTACGAAGCTACTTCAGGGCAAAAAATCAACGAGGAAAAGTCTGCAATGGTCTTTAGCAGTAACACATTGGAGTCGTAGACAAGTCTAGTCCAGCAAACCTTGGGGATGGAACGTGTTCACCAACATGAGAAATACTTGGGGCTACCTATTGTGGTGGGTAGATCTAAAAAAGAGGTATTTAGCAATTTAAAAGAAAGGGTGTGGAATAAAATGCAAGGTTGGAGTGAACAACTCTTATCTAGAGTGGGGAAGGAGGTATTAATTAAGGCGGTGGTGCAATCTATTTCCACATATGCTATGGGGTGTTTCTAACTTCCGGATAATTTTTGTGAGGATTTAGAAGCTCTATCGGCCAGGTTTTGGTGGGGACAAAAACAAGGGGGAGAGGAAAATCCATTGGGTTAGCTGGAGTAGGATGAGTACAAGGAAGGAGAGGGGTGGTGTGGATTTCAGAGATCTCAAGG